TGCTGGCTTGATCCATCTGAATGGGTTTGGATACAAACTACTGAAACATAACTCATTTATCAGGGTAGGTTTAGTCATGCACAGGTTCATACAGAAAGAGAAAAGGATGACATCATATACCAGATGGGAAGAAAGAGTGAAGTATAATCATGAATCGAGTAAGAAGTCAGATAGCTAATCTATAAAGGACTCTTCTCTCAAATCACATGATATACCACTCAAAATCATCATTTCTTTTCAATGTCATTTCCCATAACTTCTTGGATTGCTTGCATATTGATAAATGTATTCATAGGTCTCAGAATGTTATAATTTTTTGGCACCCTATCAATGTTTAAACCCTATATCTGGTATCGTAGTGGTTACGAGTTAGGCTGCGAATCTCAAGGTCAGCAGTTCAAAACAACCAGAGAATGAAAGATGAGGCTCTCTACTTTGATATACTTTGGAATCCTGGTATGGCGCTGTGAACTAATGCACCAAACTGCACAGTTGTTTGAACTGCAAACTCAGTGGTTCAAGCTCACAAGCTTGCTCCTCGGAAACCCTATACAGGATCACTATGAGTCAGGACTGATTCAATGGCACTTCACAACAACAACATATGTGGTGGGGGAAAAAATACGAAGACAGAGTATTCTTAGTAGATCTCAGTGAGCATTAATTGAGTACCTGATAAATCTTGGTGTGGCACTATAAGATAAGTATCGGACTGCTAACCACAAGGTCGGCTCTACTCCTCAGAAACCTCATACAGGCTTTCTGAGTTGGAAGCAATCGATAGCACTTACCAACAACAACTACTAAGTACTGTGAGGGTCCAGAAGATTAAATGATGAAAAAACTCAATCTTTGTTCCCAGGAAACTCAGATTCTAGAGGGAGCTTGAAATAATAATAAAAATTGTCCAGAAACTCAGTAAAGTTTTTAATTATCTACTGTTGTTTGCACCTGGGCAGAACAAATGTCTAACAAGCACTCAGCAGCTAACCGAAATGTTGAAGGTTCTAATCCACCCAGAAGCTCCTCCAAAGAAAGATCTAACAATCTCTTTCTGAGAAAAAACATCAAAATCCCTCTGGAGCACAGTTCTACTCTGACACACACGGGGACACCATGAGTTGGAATCAAATCAATAGCAAATAGTTACTGATGTCTTAGTGCTGCTGGGGAAATTTGAATTTTCAAATAAGCAGGTAATAGTCTAAGATTTATTCATTTCCTGGTGAAAATTCTTCTACTAACACATAGTTTGAGAGAATCAATAAAGCACATGGTGATCTGAAGCTCCACTGTAGAGAACACCTGGGCCACCCACAGCAGGTAAAACACTATTTCTCCTGGGGAAGGATAAGACACATCCTATCACTTTTTTATTGTTGTTGTTTTTTAAGTTTCATTGTGAATTTTGTGATAGTTTACATGGGAGAACATTAGCTTTACATTTCATCCTATCATATTTTGTTTCATTGCAATGATTACAATTCTCTCCATGCATTCTCAAACAATCAAGGGGTACAACCCACAAGCCTGCCTCCCAGCCACCGGCACACATCTCCCTCTCCCTCCACGAGTCTAGAATCTCCAACCGTTCCATCTCTCCCCGTCATCGTCTCTGCCTCCATCTCTGGCATCACTGCTTCTCTGGCCTACCTCTTTTTCAGCAGGTACAGAAAAAATATTTGATGACTGACCCAAGCCCATATTGCTCAGCCTGAAAACAGCCAGTTGCAGTCAGGTTGATTTTGACTCATGAAGACCGTATGTGTGTCAGAGTAGAATTGTGCTCCAGAGGGTTGTCAGTGGCTGATTTTTCAGAAGCACATTGTCAGGTCTTTCTGCTGCTGAGGTGCTTCTGGGTAGACTCAAACTGTCAACTTTTCCATTAACAGCACGATAAACATGTGCACCACCCAGAGATTCCACTGTCCAGCGTTACTGCCATCCAGCCCAAGAGGAGTCACGGAAGGAGCAAAGTGAACGTACTCATTTTAGTAGCACTGACATTCTCTGCTGACCATGTATGGTAGATCTGCTGGGACAAAGACAGAGGCATTGTGAGCCCTGGGGCAATACCTGCACTCAGCAAGAAGCCTCACATTAATTACAGGTAGAGAATCTTAGGCATTTCCCAGATCAACATCAGTATGCAGCACAACCCTTCCAGGGAGGAAAATGAGCAGGAAACTTGTCAGAGGTGAGGGAGACATGCTTAGCCATATTATTTACTTACTTGGTTCGGTTTTCTAGTGTCAGAAGTCACAAAAGTTGTAACCAAGAGAGATCAGGCTACAAGCACTGTTTTTAAGATGCCATCAGCCCAGCAAAAACATTAGCTATAAATCATGAGTTTTATTGTATTTGCAATTAAGCAGATCAAATGTAATGTCCATAGAAAAGCCTTAGTAATTAGTGTGAAGATTAATATAGCGAAAGGTCCCTGGTTTAGCAGGCCTCCCAAGCAAAACTGAAATAAAGAATTGCGTATATAATCGAATAGCATGTGAATATTAATGCACAAAATCCCGCTAGTCCCCGGGTCCCTGATGCAATTATTTTCTATTCACATTAATTGTTCCTAACAGATGACATTAATGACTTTGAGTTAAAATGTGTCCAAGGGAAGATTTCACAAGATCAATGCTGCTTAGAAGTAAGGTCACTTTTATAATTGTTTGCTCAGATTTTGATCACTGCTCAACATAATAAGGTTAACATGCTGATTGTTTTTTAATGTGAATATAAAAGTTAATTTTCATACTAGCTAATAATTATATTTGCTTATTCACATTTCTCATAGTACTTTCCAAATACTACTTATTTCGGCCTACTACTTATTTTCCAACACAGATTATGAAAGCATGATTATTGGTTTTTAAGGACAACTGTGCATGTAGATAGATGGACAGACCCACACACGTACATATATGAGGAACCTTTAAAAAGTTAATGGAATTAAAAGATACTGGATTTTTTTTCATGAACTTTTTGAAGAAGTGTATCTTGTGGATGGATGGATGGATGGATGGATGGATGGATGGACGGACAGACAGACCAAGATATGTAGGCATTAGTGGTTCAGTGGTGTCCTAGATTGAATTGCATCCCCCCAAATATGTGTCCACTTGCCTGGCCTGGCAGTTATGTGATGGCCCCATATGCTATGATGTGATGTGATAACTGCATATGAGGATTAAGGGCTGGAGCCACCACGTTTAATCCAGTGTGTGGGAGATTCCCAAGGGTGGGGCATGAAACACCTTTTATTTTATGAGAGATTAAAGGAGAAAGACCTGAGCCAAGAAAGAAGAACCCACTACCACCAAGAAAGAAGATCCAGGAGTGGAGCGTATTCTTTGGATCTGCGGTCTCTGTACTATGAAGCTCCTAGATCTAGGGACAGTTGATGCCAAGACACAAAGAGTGCTGGGTCTACAGCTGCTGAAAGGAGACAAGGACTGTTCTCCAGAGCAGTGCTCTGAATTCCGACTTCTAGCTTCCTACACTGTGAGAACAAGTTTCCGGTTGTTAAAGTCATCCCCTTGTGGTGTTTCATTGATGTCAGCACTAGATAACTGAGGCAAGTGGTATAGTTCTCACTTTCCATTCAGGAGACCTGGGATCAGTTCCTGGCTATATACCTCATGAGCAGCCGCTATCCATTTGTGAACAAAGGCTTTTGTGTTACAATGACTAAGATGGAAGAAAAGGGTCAGCAGAGCTTCCAGACCATGTGGAAGAAAGGCCTGGTGATTTACTTCCAAAAATCAGCCAGTGAAAACCGTATGGATCGCATGGTTCAGTCTAGCACTGACCATGGGGGATGCTGAAGGTCTGCCTCCTAACTGAAAGTTGGAGGTTCAAATCCATGAAGAGATGCTCTGAAAAAAGTCTTGTTGATCTAATTTTTTAAAAAATCAGCCATTGAAAACCTTATGAAACATATCTCTACTCTGCCACGCATGGGGTTGCCAAAAGACTGAACCAACTTAATGGCAACTGGCTAATAAATTAATCATTTGCCAATAAGTTCTCATAAATTAGAATAAGCTTTAAAAATTAGGGTCTGGAGTCCTGGCCATGCAGTGATTAAAGTACCTGATTGCTATCTGAAAGGTTCAGACCTACCAGCTACTCCATGGGAAGAAAGCAGCAGTCTGCTTCGGTAAAGATTACAGACTTGGAAACCTTACGAGACAGCTGTACCTTGTCCTATAGAGTTGCTGTGAGTGGGAATTCATTGTATGGCAGAAGGTTTGGTTTGGTTTATGTATATAGAAAACTCAGGCTGCTAACCTCAAGGTCAGCAGTTCGAAACTACCAGTGGTTCTGCGGAAGAAGGTGAGACTTTCTGCTCCTGTAAAGATTTACAATCTTAGAAACCCTATACAGGGTTGGTATGAGTCAGAACCAACTCCACGGCACATAATCAATCAACATTATATATATATATATATATATATATATATTACCTAATCAGAAGTGCTGGTGATACTGTAGGATAAGCACTGGACTGCTAACCATAATGTTGGCAGCTGAAACTCACTAGCTACTCAGTAGGAAAAAAATGAGGATTTATGCTTCCATAAAGATGTAGTCTCAGAAATCCTAAACAAGGTCACTTAGGGTCTACACCAACTCGACAGCACCTAATAACAGTTACCCCATCTAGACATATTAACTCTCTTGATTTAGCTGCCCAAGCCAAGAGGTTGAAACAAACAAAGCATCAATATTAAATGTTTCTGCTTTTGTTTACTTAGAACAGGGGTGGGGGACCTTTTTTCAGCCAAGGGCCATTTGGAAATTTATAACATCATTCATGGGCCATACAAATTTATCAACTTAAAAATTAGCCTACTATATTTAAACAAACATTTAATTAACTCACGTTTAATGTGATGGCTGAAACTGTGGTTGCCATGGGAGAGCCAGATGAAATGATTTTGTGGGCCTTATGTGGCCCCTGGGTTGCATGTTTCCTACCCCTGACTTAAAAGTTTTATTCACACATCCTCGAGTTTTTATCTGGACACTTGATTTCAGAGTTGGAGAGAAGCCAGAATGTGATGCAGTTATCAAGTGATGTTGAGATTCAAGTGGGTTTCCCTGTTGCCTTCAGAACACTTGTTTAGGATGTTATTTTCCTTCCATCAGGTATGGTGTCACAAGTGAGCCATAAAGCATATCCTTGAAGCATTGTCAGGTAGATAAAAATACTTTCCTGTCTTATGTTCTCTGAAATTCAATATCAGGTCCCCCAGCTGATAGAGTAAGCAGAAAGTGTCACTCTCGGCAAAAATACCATAAATCTTAGCTTTGTCCCCAAGATACCTTTTTGGGTATTGATTACATCTCAAAACCTCTGAGAAATGACCAAGGAGCTTTTTATTAAAGCCCACATACCATATTATTTATCCTACTTTTATGATATATTATGTATGAACTTTTAAAAATTCATGGGCTCTGCATTTTGCTTTTGTTTTTGTGTTTTTCTTCAGCTAGGATTAGCTATATGCTTATTTGGCAAAACTTTAGCATGGCTCTTCACTCTCATTGACATAAAAAAGAAAAGGTCACAAAAAACACAAGCGTCAATGTATAATAATGTTAAGCTTTTAAAAAAAATGACAGATGAACATTTGAAGATAACTAGTTTTTTATTTCACTCTATTATTTTTCCAGAGCAGATAGGATATTCTATATCAAAGGTAAACATTCTCAAGTTCATTTGGAATTAAATTTCAATGGAATGCTATTGCTTTAAACATTCATAAGGACCCAAATGGCATGCGATCTATAATATGCCCTAACAGTCAGGATTTTTTAAGTGTACAGTTTTTATCCAAGACCCTTTGCTACATTTTCTTTCTCTTTTAACTAACTCTCTCTTTTAGTCTCTTTAACTGAAATTGTGGGTCTTGTACTGCGTTTCTCACAGTACGAAATGTTAGGGGTTTTTTGTTGTTTTTTTTACTTCAAGTATGCTTCAAGCATTAAGAAATTTTTTTTTTAATATACAAAGAGAAAAATATACTTTGCATTGAGATTTTAATAAAATTAAAGGTTATTTTCTATTTAAATTCAACATAATTAAGATGATATTGTAGTCAATATGCATCCTGTAGTGAATAACTTCAGTAGGTCCTCATCATTTATATGACAACTATATTCAGACGGATGCATGGTGTTCTGTGTTTTGTTTGGGACTTTTGCTTATTGCTGGGCCTTACTTGGCATCATTGTATAATGGCTAAGACACAGCATTGGCATCAAAACATTGTATTGGCTGGGTGACCTTCAACAGGTTATTAATATCTCCACACCTCAGTTCCCCATTTAAAAACTGAGGACAATAATACTTCTTTTCTACTTCAGATAATTGTGGCAAACATTAGATGAGATAGTACATGAAATACCCTAATCACATTAGTACTGGGGCAATTACAGGCCCTCTGTAATTCCTAACCTCTTATGTTCTTCCTGAGTGGGTGACGTCATGCTCCAGCCATATGGCAGAGACGCACCATGCTAACCGAGAAAGCTATGTGCTCCAGTAAGAAATAGAACAACACTTCTTTTCGCACCTATGTGAAAGGTATCAATGAGGGAATATCACAGAATGAAAACAAGGGCTCTTAGGGATACTAGGAGTCTGGATGTGGTACTGTGGGGTAATGCACTGGACTGCAAGGTCAGTTTGAATTGTAAGGCCGAGAATTCAACTTCTCCATCCTCTCCTGGAAACCCTATATAGGGTTGCTATGAGTTGGAACCGCCTCAATGGCACTTCATAACAACAATGACAACAGGGACACTATACATTTGTGGTTTCACTGGAGAACTAAGATCCCTGTTTTAACTAAATAATACTACTAATTGTGCCATGGAGCTGGTTCCAACTCATAGCAACCCCTGTATAGTGTTTCTGAGGAGCTGTTGGTGGGTTTGAACCTCTGACTTTGAGGTTACCAGTCCAGTGCTTATCCTAAAGTGCCATACTACAACTCCAGTAATAATAATGCTATTGTTAAGTGCCATGGAGGTGAGTCTGGCTCATAGCAACTTTGTATATAGGGTTTCCAAGGAGTGGCTGGTGGGTTTGAACTGCTGAACTTGTGGTTCAAATTGACCTTGTGGTCCAGCGCTTATCCTATAACATCACACCAGGACTATAGTGGCACCTAAAGATTACTGGTGTAGTGCTGTGAGCTAACGCATTAGACTGCAAAGTCGTTTGAACTGCAAAGTCAGTGGTTTAAGTTCACCAGCTGCCCCTTGGAAACCCTATACTTGGTCGCTATGGGTCAGAATCGACTTGATGGCACTTAGCAACAACAACAAAGGTTACTAGATGTTATGCTATGCTAGGAACTGTTCAATCTTCATAACTATCTTATGTGGTTATGTGGTTTTGTTTGTTGTTAAGTTCTGTTGAATTGGCTCTGACTCATAGTGACCATGTATAGGGTTTCCAAGGAGTGCTGGTGAGTTTGAACCAGCGACCTTATGGTTCAAACTGACCTTGCGTGGTTTTTGTTAGGTGCTGTCAGTGGTTTATGTGTCATAGTGATCCTGTGTGCACCAGAATGAAGCATGTCCAGGACTGTGGCAGCCTCAAATTGTTAGGTTTGAGACCATGGTTGCAGACACTAAATCAATCTATTTCATTTCATTGAGTCTTTCTTTTTTTGCTGATTCTCTACTTTACCAAACATAATGTCCTTCCCCAGGTACTGGTTCCTCCTGATAATTTGTCCAAAGTAAGCTTGCCAAAGTTTTACCATCCTTGCGTCTAACAAGCATTCTGGCTATATTTTTTCCAAGACAGATGTGTTCCTTCTTCTGGCACTCCATTGTGTAATCAATATTCTTTACCATCATAGCATTCAGATGCATCAATTTGTCTTCATTATTGTCCTTCTTTCATGTGCATATGAGGTGATGGATAATACCATGACTTGGAGAGGCACACCTTATTTCTCAAAGTGACGTCTTTGCTTTAATACTTTAAAGAGAGACCTGCAGCAGATTTGCCCAAACATAATATGTCGTTTCATTTCCTAACTGCTGCTAACATGAGCGTTGATTATGGATCCAAGTAAAATGAAATCCGTGGCAACTTCAGTATTTTGTCCACTTATCATGATTTTGCTTTGCTGTTTTTGCTGTTAAGTGCCATCAAGTCAGTTCCAACTCATATCAACACTATATAAGTTTCTGAGGAACCACTTGTGAATTTGAACTGCTCACTTTGCAGTTCAAACCAAGCTGTTTTACAGCACTATATCAGGACTATAGGATGTTGCTTGTTGTTGTTATTAAGTGCTGTCGAGTTGGTTCCAATTCATAGCGACCCTTTACAGTGATTCTGAGGAGCAACTGATAAGCTTGAACTGCTGACCTTGCAGTTCAGACCAGCCTTGCAGTCCAATGCATTATCCTGCAGCACCACACCAGGACTCCTAGAACTGAGGCACAGAGGGGTTAAGTAATTTGCCCAAGATCAAACAAGTGGAAAAGCCAGGATGTAAGCCTAGTAGATGATCTCAGAGCTTCAAACACCACTCAGTATAGGTCTTCATTGAACTAGGTAATTGTCTGTGGTGAGCAAGTGCCGATGATGCAAACCACAAGACAGAAGAGCTCACTCTGCCTCCATGATGTCAGAGATCTAGAGTCCTTATTAATGCCATCTGATTGTCCAAGGCCTGGAAAATAGACTCTGCCACTTGGGAGGAGTGGCCCTTCCGCTTTTTGAAGAATTTTCTTCACTTATTCCCTTTCTCACTCCCACCCCAACATACTGGTCTAGACATGACCTTGGACCATTCCTTCCATCATCCACAGCCCAAGTCAGACTGAGATGACACATCATGCCATCAAGTAACCCTTAGAAGAGCTAGACCACTCAGAGCTTCTCCTAGAGGCTTGCTTCTCTAGGAGAGCAGGGGTCACGGAATAACAACACTGACAAGCTTACGAGCTTGTTCAAAACACTACCGCTCAGATACCCCCTTACAGTCACTGAATCAGAATCTGTTTTTTAATAAGATCCCCTGGTGATTCTTGTGTCATTTACGGTGTGGAAAGAGCTTAGAGGACATCTTCCTGTTGAGTCCCTTGCCTGCCTGTAATATTGACAGGCTTTCTCCACCTCCCTGAAGCATCCCTTATCACACCTTTGTGGCTCGAGTTCAAACAAGAAGCACGAGTTCTTTCTCCTGCTAACCCATCTTTTGAGTTTTAATTTCCAGTCATCTTAATCTGACATATGTACCTGAGGCACATATATAAATAACTGAGCAAGGATTCCTGTTGGTCCAAAGAGGCCTGGAAACTGAGTGGAATTGTAAATAGAGGTATAATGTAATGGGTGTAATGAAAGGGATCCGCCTGCCCTCTGTCAGTGTGTCGTACTGTGATGCTGGAAGCTATACCATCCCATCTGTATTTCAGATGCCAGCAAAGTCACCATGATGGAAAGATTTCAATGGAAATTCCAGACTGAGACTGACAAGGAAGAAATGCTTGGCAATTTGCTTCTGAAAATCAACCCATGAAATCTTTGTGACTCACAACAGAATATTATGTGACTCACTTGCTTTGAACACATCATCAGGATTGGGGAAGCAGAGGGCAGTAAGGGTGAGGGAGACCCCCAGTGACATGGAATGGCATGAGAACCACAACAATGGACTCAAACATGCTGGTAATTGTGAGATGGCTCAGAACTGGCCACCATTTGCTCTGTCAACTTGATGGTTAACAGCAGCAGTGAAGGACAAGATGGGAAAGACAGAAGAAATCACACATAAGCTTCAGTGTCTTGGGAGAGGGTGGAATGTAACTCAGTGAAAACCACGCCAAGTGGGAGAAAGGCCCTCAGCACACAGACACAATCTGTCTCTGGATGTCCAGCCTGTCTGTCATAGCAGAGATAGGGCAGTTCTAAATGCCAGCACCACCGTGCTTACTCAAACAACAAAGTATGTTTAAGCCGAGAGAAGAATTCAAACAAAGTGGAAAGCACAAGGGTAGAATCAGAACATAATGTGATATTTCTGAAAGTTTGTTCTGGGGCATAGTCCAGATTTTA